GCCTCGTTTTAAGTCATCATTCTTGAAACAAACATATAAATACATGTTTTTTAACGTTAACTAATATGTCAAAATTCAAATGGGGCACCTGGGTGGCTCCGTCGGTTAAGCATCAGACTTGACTTCGGCTCAAGTCATGATCTGACGGTTTATGGGATCAAGGCCCACATGGGGCTCTCCCTCTCTGCCTTTCCCCTGCATGTGCACACGCACACACACACTCTCAAAACAAGTAAACAAACAAAAATAAATAAAAGTATATTTTAAAGGTTTTTTAAAAACCCTCCCGTATAATATCGACTTGATTAAAAAGCCTAAAAACCTTTGGGGATAAAGGCAGAGGCTTACCGAACTCTAACTCCATGGTGCCCAGTGCCTGTGTGTAATAGGACATACTTGCTCATTACAGTGTTGTAATCAGAAAAAAACTTGCATAAAACAGTTTTAGAAGTGTAGGAGTCAAAAATTAAATTTCAAACTTGTGGAAGTAAATGACAGTAAAAATGGTTTAGGATAGTAGGAAAACAGGGTTTTAAGAAAGGAATGTCACCTTACTTTAGAATCATCTCAGAACAAGAAAATAGAAGGGCAAAAACAAAGGTGGTTTTTGCAGAACCAAGGAACATAAACATGGTCAGCGGCATGAGAGGACACGTTAGGGAGGATTCTGGAAGGAGAGCGTGCAGATGAAGCTCCTAGGAGGGCAGAACCCCACGTTTCAAGTGCCTGTGGACCAAGCACCAGTCCTACACCTGTTGGGTGGGGTGCCAAAGCTCACACTGAGTCACCTCCGAGCCGGAATCCGACCCCAATTTGTCAAGCCGGCTCGTGGCAAGAAGCAGTGCCAGACTCCGGAGTAACAGAGGGCCCTTCGGTCTCCTCAGGGGTGTGGCCACAAGCCCCAGCGGCCCCGAGACCACTTCTACTTCTCCTCATAAGAAACGACCACGAACAATGAGAGGAAGGAGGCTTCAGCTCGGGTCATGATCCCCACCGGAACTGGCGGTCCCAGGTGGGGAGCTCTCGCCCCAATAGGAGCAGCTCTCTCTCCGGGTGCTCCCTCCCCCCCGCCCCTCCCTGGCTCATTCTCTCTCTCTCTCAAAACAGATAAATAAGCTTAAAAAAATAGTGCCTGCTCCATCTCTGAGATATTTAAAATGCTTACCACACACCTAACACGTGAAGAGTGTTAAATGTTGACTTTCCTGCCTTTACGGACTTTCACAGACTATGAAGGATGTCCAAACAACCACATGTAAAACAAAGAGAGAAAAAAGCTACAAAAAACCCAAACTTACAGCATAGAAGAATTCTAGAAGGTCATATTTGCTCGCCTTGTTAGTTCTTTCAAAAATACATTATCTAGTGTAATTTTACTGATAGCAACAAGATTACTTAAAATCGTGTTAAATATAAATACTGAAACTCAAGCACGTCAGAAATGCGAGAGATTCCGTATTTTCATCTCGTGTCTCCTTTGCTCTTCTCTCTTAAGAGCAACACAACGACACAGCCAAAGAGCACTGGCAACATTTCCTGCTATCTTCCCACAGACACCCAGACTTAACACCCTGGGACACATCTCCAGATACGAGGTGTGCACACACAAGCAGAAAGGCATCTCCCAGCACACCGTCTGGCAGCGCAGTCCCCCTTACGACTATCATTACCATCTTTCCACAAAAAGATCTATGCTTCTGAAACACCATTTTAATGGCCACATAGCAAACGTTGTATTTCAGATTTAACTTTGAAAGAACTGCATTACCTAAATTAATCAGTAGGCAAAAATAAAACAGATTATTAAACATGTTTATAAATTACAGAGGTGCCTGGGTGGCTCAGTCAGTTAGGCGTCTGACTCTTGATTCCAGCTCAGGGCATGATCTCATGGTTGTGAGGGCTCCTCGCTGACAGTGAGAAGCCTGCCTGGGATTCCCCCGCCCTGCTCACACTCTCTCGCGCTCTCTCAAAATAAATAAATAAACATTTTACAGAAACATTTTTATAAATCACTGAAGGTTATTTAGTTTGGGGCTTTACTGCTAAAAGGTAAGGAAGTAACATGTTCTTTATGTAAACTGGGATATATTCCAAATTACCCATGAAGTTTTATTTAGCTGAGATAAACCTATGAGTTAATTAGTAAAGGGCAACATTTTCAACCCAGGTCATAAATTCAGGCCTGTTGTCTGCAGGACTATTAAGTTATTAAAGAGGACACGGTGGGGGACACCAGCTCACACACAGGCAGGAAAGGCATTCTCAGACACCTCCTCCGCACACAAAGGTGTCACAGGTAAAAGAAATATGACAAGTCACCACCCAGAGTCCATTCGCCTCTTGCAGACACAGGTACAGACGTAGTGCTTTTCCTGCTGAAAGTCTCACGTTATTGACAAGAGTAGTATTAAAATACATACGTAACGTTTCACCCCCGAGAAAATATAAGATTGAAGATAAATTCTAAATTTCCTTAATTACTATAAAAGTTTTAAGGCGTATTTCAGTTTGAGGCAACTGGCCAAAAAAGTTTTCTTCACAAACTGAAAACTCAGAATCAAGAGAAGCTTCAGGCATGCAGCTCTATTAACGTTCCAGTGCTAAGACCACACAGGTTTACACAGACCATTCCGCTCTTCCTGACAAGTGCTTTTATCTAAAATTGAACAGACTGAACTTTCCCTCATACTACAGTCTCATTAAAATGGGGGAAGGGGCGCCTGGGTGTCTCAAGTCCGTTAGGCGTCCGACTTCGGCTCAGGTCATGATCTCACAGCTCGTGGGTTCGAGCCCCGCGTCGGGCTCTGTGCTGACAGCTCAGAGCCTGGAGCCTGCTTCGGATTCTGTGTCTCCTTCTCTCTGCCCCTCCTCTGTTCCTGCTCTATCTCTCTCTCAAAAATAAACAAACATCAATAAATAAAATAAAATAAAATAAAATAAAATAAAATAAAATAAAATAAAATAAAACTGGGAAAACAGCATTAATGACCTTCGGTGCTTTCCTTATCATTCCTTAACACCACTCTTAAAAAATACACTCAAGAAGATCAACACAGCCTTCATGTGTGCTTTTGCCAAGTTGACTTGTATTTCCTGTGAATCAATTATCATTCATAAAAATCTAGAAAATTCTTAGAAGTTTCAAAACTCACTCACTGCTAAATTTGACCAAATCAACACCAGTTTATTAACTAGATATGTCTAACAATAACTACTATCAATTTCTTTATAATCTATACATGACTTCAAAATAGATTTAATAATAAAATCATTATGTGCTGAAATGTTTAGAAGCTCACAAATCTTATCTGACTTTTACAACAGAAAATTTTAACATGAATCAGTAGCAAATTAAATGTATTGATTGTACAGAAAATATCACTGATAATAAAAGCAAGCATGAAGTCACAGGCAAAAAATAAATTTGTTTCTCTGTAGGGAGATAACCTCAGTATTTTCAAAAGAAATGATAAAAATGTATTTACAAAAACAAGAACAGCATAATCTAAACTATAAAATAGAACACAAATCTGTTATTTTTTTCCACTGAAGTCATGTGCAGAATCATTCTATTTCAAATTATTACATATATGAGCTTATGAATCAGAGCTAAGGAGTGTGTTATCACACTCAGAAAACTGATGAGGCAACAGCCATGCATTTTCAGAGCACACAATTAGCTACATCACAACCATTAATAACATAAGACACAATTAAGCTGGCTCATTCTATTAGTTTTTCTTAGAAAAATCAAGCACAGGGGCACCTGGGGGGCTCAGTCAGTGGAGCATCCGACTTCAGCTCACGTCATGATCTCCCAGTTCATGAA